TTACAAACAAATTTATTTTTACAAAAAAACTTCACAATAAAAAATTAGCGAATTACAAAATGAGTACAAAATATTAGCAAGCATATAGGGAACAAAGGAGAAATGTGAATATGGGGATAACAAACAATATACAGAAAATAATATCAATTAGGAACAACAAATACTCATGTACATTATTTTGGTCATCAATTATTATCATCCTCTTCCAGATTTCTTGCTTCTTCGACTGCTTTTGTTGTCCGATGATAACGAACGTCGACTGCTCCTGTCTCCACTTCCCCGGTTGCTTGCTGTTGCTGTCGCTCCCATAGACGTATGAACTGAAGCCGTATCACTCCCAACAAGTCGCAATATGTTCCGGTCCATCCACAACATAGCCTGCTGGATACTGCAGCGAATGTCCGCGTCACCGTTCCAAACGCAGTTCGTGATGAGCTCCGCAAACTCCTCTGGAGTGTCGTCGCTGAACTTAAGGCGGTCGCCTGTGATAACCTTCAAAATGAAAAGTTAAGATTAATTTAACACCACTATCTTTCAAACCTTCCTGGCAACAATGTTGTTGCTTCCAACCCCGGCGTAAGGCGTAGCACCATTGGAGAAGATCTCCCAGCAGAGGACTCCATATGCCCAGACATCAGATTTTTTTGTACAAGCACGCTCGATCATGGTCTCGGGGGCAAGCCACTTGATTGGCAATCGCTGATCTTTGCGGAGCTTAATGCATTTCTCCTTGTGTTCCAGTTCACGGGCAAGGCCAAAGTCCGCGATCTTGACCTGTTAGCAAAAAATTAAGTAAGCACGATTATAAATTTAATTTTCGCTGCAAAAATAAATTTTACCTTGTTTTCACTGAACAGGCAATTCCTAGCGGCGACATCGCAGTGGACTACATTCCGATCGTGTACGTGGCTGAGGCCTGAAGCAGCTCCAAGACACATGTATAGTTTGCTGCGCACACTTCTCGTTTGGCGCTGTAGATGGTCCTTGAGAGCGCCCTCGGTTGCCAAATCCATGACGATCATCAGCGGCTCCTGACCCACTGCTACACCTAAATAATTGAACACACATTAAACTATTCATCAGACAGATTTGTGAGTTCTTACCATAACAGAAGATGACATTCGGGTGCCTGAACTTCCTCATGACTCTTGCCTCGTTCATAAACTCCTTGATCTGGTCCTTCGTGCATTTAGACAGCGTAGCCTCCTTGATCGCCACATTTTTGACTGTTCCATCAGCGGCGGTGAATGTGCCAGTCCGGACGACACCAAATGCGCCACTCCCAAGCTCATCGCCTTTCTTAATTGCGGAATGTGCTAATTCCCATTCATGTCGTCCAATCGCGCGCTTGAGCAAGACGTTTCTGCCCTGAAAAGGAAAGACAACATTTAAACGTTACAAGCCTAAAAATATAAGTTATCTCACCGAACAGATGGAGGCGTTACTTCGTAGATGAGCTTCCACAAATTCCTGGATCGTGGCGTAGCCTCTGTTCTTCTTGAAGTCGATGGCAAACATGTTTTGTTGTGTCCTGAAGATGTAGTGTCGCGCAACTCCTTCATAGAAAGTCGACAGAACAAAGGATCTGGAGTCACCCGCAAACTCCTCGCTCGTCCGAATGATGAAGTCCCCTTCCTTCTTCAGCATGGCTACAGCGTCTTCTCTCGGGAGCTAAATTTAAAAAATCATCATTTGAAACTAAAATAAAAAAGGGAAAAAACTCACAAGTCCATGGTAGTACGGTAGCCGCCACAGAGCATCGGTCGACATTTACAGGAGCGGTGGTTAGTTGGCGTAGTAACGTTGAGTTAATGTAGTTCAAAAGCTGGCAAATTTTGCCTTCAAAATACCTTCTTTTTATAGTAACTGATTTAATCTGTATTCGAGATGTAAAAAGTTAAAAACCCCTTTACTATAAAAACCTTTAATTGCATTATATGTTAACCGCACTATCTGCAAATTTACGTTCCCCTCAATCTGCAGCCGTTTAATGAGTAAGTTATTATTTACTTAATACATAAACAACGTTTTTATTCCCTGCGTTTTCAGATTTGTTGGCATTTCTGGACACTTGTGGGTCATGGCAAATTTGGATGCTTATCATATCGTTCTTGGCGTTGCACTCCTTGCTCGTGGTTTTTGTCATCGACAGCTTCATAACATGTTTGTGCATTCGTCTTCGCAAAATTAAAGAAGAGAAGCAACAGAAGTTGCTGTTACTTCACCCACCTCCAACTGAAGAACCAAAACAACCACCTCCACCGAAGCCTGAACCTATGAAGCCGACGAAGGAGAAAAAGCCGACAAAAGCAAAGGAAGAGAAACAGCCAACAAAGGATAAGGAAAAACCAGCGAAGGAAGTGGAAATAAAGCCAGTTGTTAATCTGGCGTCTGGTCTCTACGAAAATTTTGAAGCAGCTTTGGAGAAGACGCCGCCAAAAGAGGAACGACCAAAGGAGAGTACAGCTAGATCTTCTCGAGATATTGCTCCTCCTCCACCACCACCAGAAGCGAAGAGTGACGTGAAAAAGTCAAAGAGTGACGTGAAATGTGAGTATTTAACACTTCTTTTCTATGTTATTGTTTACTTTTCAGCAAAAGGGAAATCAAGATTTTGCCAATCATGGTGAAGAAGAAGGAGAAGAAGAAGAAGGACAAGAAGAAACCAAAGAAGAAAAAGCCATCGGAAAGGTATTTATTAATCGAGTGTAACATTCTTTTTGTTTTTCTTTCTTAGGAGTAGCACCTCAGGGGAATCAGGCAGCGATACAAAGACAGAAAAGCCAGCTAAAGAAACTAAGGGCAGGACTGTTATCCAGGCGAGTTTGAAGAATTTTTTGTTATTTTAATCATCACTTTTTTCAGTTCCAAATACCTGCACTTCCAAAGTTCGAGTTTAAACAAGTTGGTGCAACGTCGGCAGCATCGGCAACTTCCACCACAAAAGGGAATACTACGGGAACTTCTACAGTTGGCCGTTCTACGACCTCGGTGGACACAAAGTGAAAAGTGAGTATGTATTGAATTGAACGAGAAGAGAGGACAAGATTTTTATCTTGCTTATTGTATATATGCTTTATCTATAATATCTAATTTTGCTTGAATAAACGTATGTATGTCGATATCCATTTTTTACTACGATAGTTTATTTAAAAAATAATTTTTACTTCAAAATATTAATGAGTAGTTAACCCACAGTCACCGTCGCGGCTTTTTACTAATCCACTACCCGTCAAGTGGTGGAGGGGTCCGACAAAACCAAAAGGGAGAGGGCATGCCGCGGCAAAGATCAAAGAGGAGTGGACACTGTCGCGGGGGTGGAGGGGTCCGATAAAAGAAATGGTCAGACAAAAGAAAGAGAGTGAGGAAAACCAAAAGGATAAGAAAGGAGTGGATTGAGGGATAATTTGTAAATCATAGATGTCGGGGGTGGTAATAAAATCATGTTAAACCAAATGAGTAATTTCAAGCCTGTCGCGGATGATTCATGTACGTTACTAGATTACACCTTTGTAAACATGTACCAATTATCACCTGATTACCCTAGATGTTACCGAGGCACGTGATTACCCTAGATGTTACTAAAAGTGATTACCCTAATCGGTGATTATTATGTTCTGTATCGTTAATATTTATTTGTTACTGATTACATTTGTTGTTAATTAAAGTGATAGCTGATAAATTATTAAAAAAATTAAAATTCTTTATTTTCAATCCCCAATACATAATTTTTGCTTCGCCAAAATTTGGTCCATGTTTTTAATCCTTTTTGGCAAGTTTTCAGATAATGACCTTGACCTTTTGACCTTAATCCTTTATTTTTTATCAAATTTAAAAATTGTTTAGAATTTTCTCTTTGATGTTGCCGATATTTTAAATTTATGCAAATTAACCTTTTAAAAACTCTTTGAAGATGCCGCCAATATTTTAAAAATTTTAAAATTTATGCTCCCGATATTTTAAATTTATGCAAATTAATGTTTTAAAACCTCTTTGAAGTTGCCGCCTATAAAAAGTTTTACCAAAATATTTCATATAAAAACAAAGATTTATTTCTCATTTGTATTCACTTAAAAAAAGTTCAAATAATTTAAAATATTTATTAATTTGCTCCTCATCTTTTTATTTTAATAGGAGCTCTTTTTGCTCCCCATAATTTTTTGCTCTTTATTCATAGGAGCTCTTTTTCATAGGATTTTTTTTATTGAATAATGGACTATATTCCTCCAACAAAACGCGCAAGAGCGTTCTTTATTGATAACCTTCTCTCTATCAATCAATCAGGAGGAGATGCTGCTCCACAGCAATATATTGAGCAGCTTGAAAATACTACAAAATTAATCAATAAATTTAAGATCACCAAAAATTATTCGAAATTCCTTATTCAGAATATTCCTGCCGACCCTGAGGCCTTATTATCAGGAATATTTCAACATTGCTTCAACCAGGCTGTGAACAACGCAAAAAACAACGGACTTGAACCTGAGGAGCTGAGTTGCACCGTAACAAGTGAGTTATTAGATTCTGATATTTGGATCCCACTTAGGCCCACATCGCAAAATACCTTCAATACCCTGCTTAATCAATTCAATAAAGTTTCCCAGAGTAAAAAGCAGGCTGGTATTACCCTATGGGGAAAACCTTTTTCAGTTAATGTAATGGTCGTCGACAAGAAAAATTTGAACAAGGAAAACAACATTATTGGAGGAGCTCCCCGAAAACTTGCTCCTATTCATCATCAGATCAAGGAGCAGAATTTAATCAAAATTATCAACAACGATGGTTATTGCTTATTTTATTCTTTATTAGCAACACTTGTACGGCTTATTAGCAAAATGTCGCGCTCACAATTTTACAACTATATCCACGGGAGGTATGCATCGTGTGGACAATTCGAAAGGGAGACATTGGAGCTGATGGATCAAGTTGGAGCTCCTCTTGGTCAGAAGGAGTACAATGCTGAGGAATGGGTTCCTCCCGTGGTCGACTTTTGGAATGAAATGTATGCAGGCCAGTTTGTTTTTAAAGTTTTTATTTTTGATTGTTTGGGGCACTATAATCCTTGTTTCAAATATGGTCCAGAGAATTATAATTCCCCATTGCTCCTCTATTTTGATGGCTCTCACTTTAATGGAGTTACTTGCACTGGTGGGCTTTTTGGGCAGCCTTATTGTTTGGAATGTGAAACAGTGTATCAACGTCCACAACAACATTCTACATCCTGTCGGGCACACTGTCTCAATTGCTCCCGTGTCGGTCCTTTATATCCATGCCCTCCGAGGAACAATTTCTCCAAAAAATGTAATGGGTGCTCCAAGAGTTTTAACAACGAAAATTGCTTCGACCATCATCAGAGTTCACGATTTTGCCAACAATCCAAACGTTGCGAAAAATGTGGAGTGATCTGGGATACAAAAGATAACACCAGAGGAGGCAGGAGCGGCCACATTTGCAATGAGCGCTATTGTTCAATTTGCTCAGGATATCATGACCCAAAGCGCGGATGTTTTATTAAGCCTTTGGAGCCCAAGGAGCAAAAGCCTTATCGATTTGTAGCTTTTGATCTGGAGACCATGCAACATGTATCAGATGGAAACAACAAGAGAAATCACCAGACAAATTTTATCGCAGCAAGAGTTACATGCCCCAAATGTATTGAGGAGGAGAAGGAGCTGTGCAAAGTTTGTGGGAGCAACAAACTTGTAACCTTCTCGGAGCGCCCATTTTCCAAAACTCCCGTAGATCTACAGAAAGTCACCGAGGATCCAATCATCTCATTTGTCAAATGGATAATTGGATTAACAACAGACTACGACACAATAGCGTTTTCACATTTTGGAGGGAGGTTTGATATGGTAATAGTGTTCCGGGAGCTCTTTCTTATGGGTTTTACTCCTGAAATGTTGAAGAGAGGAAATAAAATGTATGAGATGAAAGTGAAAATTGGGAAGAAGAATATACTCATCTTCAGGGACAGTTTCAATCTGATGCCAATGTCTTTGGCATCTCTTGTCCCAGCCTTTGCTCTCGAGGTTGAGGACAAACCTTTCTTCCCCCACCTCATCAATCAGCCTAAGAATTATGGAAAAGAGGTGTTTCCCATCCCCTCTGACTACTTCGCAGATGGGATGATGCCAGAGAAGAGAAAAGAATTCAATAAATGGTATGATCAGCACAAGGAGCTCCCATTTTACCTGGATGAGGAGCTCGCAGCATACTGTACCAATGATGTAGAAATATTATTAGCTGCTCTTATTGCTTTTCGACGAGAATTTATGGATGTGACAAAGAGAGCTCCTTATCAAAGAGCAGCTTCTTCAAAAGCTCACGGAGGTATTGATGTTTTAAGGGAATCAATGACAATAGCCTCAGCATGTATGAATCATTTTAGAACAAATCACTTGAAAGAAAACCACCTAGCTCTTGTCCCTGAAAAAGGCTACGATAATGTGGATAATCAGAGCCGCCTTGCTCTCAAATTTATGAAATGGTATGAGGAGGAGCACGGAGTGAAAATTCAATCTGCTCATTCAGATGGAGGGGAGAAAAAGGTTGGAAATTACAAGTTAGATGGCTGGATAGAAGAGGAGCAATTAGGGATAGAGATTAATGGATGTGTTTGGCATGGTTGTGAGCGGTGCTATCCTGAGGACAACACAGTTCTCCCTAATGGATTGACAGCAGCAAAGCAACGGGAGAAGGATACAAGGAGGATGGAATTCATTAAAAATCAAGGAGTAAATGTGCAACTCTTTTGGGAGTGTGAAATTAGTAGTATGCTAGAAAAAGACAGGGAGATGAGGAGCTCCTTCAAAAAGTATTTGGATGATGGCCCAATTGATCTACGGGCATGCTTCTTTGGAGGACGTACTGGCCCACTTCAGCTTTTCTACTCACCAAAAGCTGGAGAGAAAATATCATACTATGACGTCACCTCCTTGTACCCATTTATTAATGTAACTACAAAATATCCAGTGGGGCACCCGAAGGTACATATTCTCAATGAAGAGGTTCACTGGAGCAAGCCGGAGGACAACATATACGAATTGGCAATATTGAAAGTCTTTGTCATCCCTCCAAGGAGCATTGATATTCCTGTGCTCCCAATGAAAGTAGGAGAAGATGATGAGAGGTTGCTCTTTCCTCTCTGCTCCCAATGTGCAAGGGAGCACCCTGAAGGAGGAGTAAATGAAAACTACTCCTGCCCTCACTCAGACCATCAACGTGGATGGGTGAGCACCTGCACTTCACTCGAATTGAATGCAGCTCTAGAGGAAGGATACATCGTCATCAAGGTGTTCAGAGTTTTGGAGTTCAGGGAGAGCGACGACAAATTGTTTGCTCCATACATTTCTGAATTTATGGCAGCAAAAATTCACTCTTCGGGATTTGAAAGCTATATGAAGGGGAATTATGAGGAGGAGGAGCAATTTATTAAAGAGTGCAAGGAGAAGTTTGGAATTAATATAGAGAGGAGCAAGATGGGACCAAATAAGGGGAAACGCACACAAGCGAAGTTAATGCTCAACAACTTATGGGGGAGATTCTCTTTGAGGAATTTTGGGTTGTCACAATGTGCAATTACAGACAACCCAGCAGAGCTACACAAATACTATAACGACAAATCAATTGAAATCACCGACCTAGATGAGCTCACACCAGATATTTTGCTCATCTCTTACATCAAAAAGAAAGATTGGATTGAGGAGCACAATTGCTCCAATGTTGTCATCTCCTTATGGACAACGTCGGCAGCGCGAATTCATTTGCTCCGAGCAATGCAAAAAGTTGCTCGTTCTCCTGGGTGCTCTTTGCTCTACACAGACACCGACTCCCTAATTTTTGCTCATCCAATCAACAACTGTCCTCTTCCTTTGGGCCCTCACCTGGGAGAGCTAACTGATGAGTATCCCTCTCACGATATATTGGAATATTGCTGTGGAGGAGCAAAGCAATATGGCCTCAAACTTCAACGCAAGGGACAACAAGAAGTCGAATATGTTCTGAAAGTTAGAGGAATGACCCTAAACTACGATGTGCTCAACAATCAAGGATTGCAATACAACACATTCAAGGAGCAGGTAATTAATTATGCCAGAACAGGAGAAATTAGACCAATTGATATAATTTACCCCAATTTTTTGCGGCCATCAATTAAAGATGGTCGTGTCACTTCCCAACCACAACATAAATTGTACAAACCTGTTGTCAGTAAGGGAATTATCCGCCCTTCTGACTTTTCTATTCTCAACTATGGATTTATAAACAATCGACATCCTCGTATTTCGCCCCCATAATTTATTTTTTTGTCAATTTTGTCCCAATATTTCTAGGAGCCGGAAAGTAGGGGTACTCCTTATCTTCTCTATACCAACCATTGTTTCGATGAATATCAAATGTGTCATTCACATATTGTGAGGTCGTCCTCTCATTGTTTACGATGATTATCAACATGTGCCATTCACATGTTGTGAGGCATACCTCTCATTGAGATACAGTGGTAGCGGACTGAGTAAATTATTACATCCCTGGTTGAGTCTGATAAAGGAGTCGAATGGCGAAGCCGGTCTCCTACCCTCCCTCCTTTTTTTTTTCTCAATTTTATTATTTTAATTGCAATTTTATTGTTTTATGTTTTACTTTGAAATAAATTTTTTATGAAAAACTTGTGCAAATTTATTGTTTAAAAACAGGAGATTTTAGGGGTAAAAGTGCACAATTAAGAAACTAATGAGCAAAGTTTAGTGCTTGAAATAGGTGATTTTAGGGAGAAAAGTGCATAATTACAGAGAAAAAAATTGCAAAAAAGCAAAGTTTGCAATTTTAAATAGCTGATTTTAGGGGTAAAAGTGCATATTTTGACAAAATAAAGTGTTATTTTTATATTTTATTAAAACTTATGAATTTTAGGTATGCGTGCGTGTTTTTCGTATGCGCGTGTATTTTTAGGTGCGCATGTATTTTTTGACTACAAAATTTTATCCAAAAATAAATTGATTACAAATAATTACCAAATATCAATATTATTGTCTTCATCTTTTTTCAAAATAATTACTGGACTCTTCGGCTCGTCCGAAATTGCTAGTTTGTTTGATAGATCATTGGAGAGTTGATTCACCCATTTGCTAGCAAGTCGATCCTCTTGTTCAGGAACAAACTCGAGCAACTCCAATGGGTAATATCTGTCCTCTCCTCCAAATGGAAGGCGCTCAATGACACATTGCAAGTACGGATAACGTAAACGAATCCTGTGTCGAGCATAATAGTGAGCAGCAACGCTCACATTGTAAGGAAAAGGTAATCTCCCATAGGCAACGAGAGAATTTCCTCCATGTTGAGTAAGGCTATCTATACGAAAAGTTTTCTTAAAGCCATTCTGATCTTCATAAGTCGTTTGGACTTTTCGACCTAATATTTCCTTAAAGATAAGCACACGGTTATCAGGATGGTTGAGGTGGTCTCTTAAAGATTTTGCAGAGCACCCCAAAATTCGCGTGCATTCATCGATTACTTTATTGGAAGAGGAATGAGAATTCATTTTTTAAAGAATGATTTTTTTCCAAAAATTTCCCTCTTTTTATACTCCACATTTTTGATATTTTAAAAGTTTACATTTTGATATTTAGGTCAATTTTGTTCAAAAAGTTGAATTTTTGATTTCCACCCATTTTCAATAATCATTTGAAAAATTTTTCAGAATATGAGCTCATCTCCAGAAGAAGAATTTATTAAGTTTATGCACGGATCGTGCGAATATAGGCAATTTAACAAGAGGAAATATATGAACGCTTTGAGTCAAGCTATCAGAGATGGCGCTCAACTTGACTTGGGAGCAAGATTAAGTGTACTCATAAATTATTTCAGAGCTGGAAAATGGTGCCATGATTGTCTAAAGTTTGTTTTGAGTCGTTTGCAATGCGAAATTATAGTACCCAAATATGAACATAATTTTAAGTATGAATTTTATCTTTGTCCAGATTGTTTTAAAATTACAAAAAGTTATCTCGAAATACATAATAATTAATTATTTATCATATTGTTTACAATATTATTTACAAATAAATCTGTATTTTTGATCGTATTTAATAAATTGATATACTGATAAATTGTATAATTTTGGGATAGAAAATATATTAGGGAAATACAGTGGTGAGCACAAGTCTTTGAGAGGGGTGATTGGTATTGGTTAGAATTTCTTTTTACATTTTTAAAATTTTTTAAAAATGCATTAACAATACAAGAACTTATTGGTAATGCAAGACTATCAAAATAAAATATTTGATTTTTTTCTAAATAAAGTGTAATCCAATGTGAGCCATCTTTATCATGAGAGTCCAAGTTGACAATAAGAGCTGTAGGGCATTTCAAACTATTAGGAGAAGGGAGCAAGTCACAAGGGAAGCACCCCTTGAAAATTTTGCTCGTCTTTGAGTTTGATCTCAAAATTTGAGTTATCTGACTGCTGTACATTTCTTCGCAAAATATTTAATCTGACCCAATGTATTGATCGAAATTGATAAATAACAAGACTTATAATAAGAAGAATGTACATAGAAATCATTCCCCAACAAAATATATGTCCATATATATCTTGCGGTGACTCCTTACATAGTTGAATTTGAGGGAGACTACCAAAAGGTTGAGGAGCAGCAGGAACAGATATACTTGGAACAGTAATGTTCCTCTTTGAGGGATATCCCATTCTTTGTAAATATTCCCTATATTCTGGAAGGTTTTGAACATCTACGCTCCCGTCAGTACTTAGAGTATTAACACAAGGAGTAAAAACTCGAATTAATAATAAGACTTTTGCAATATTTTTAAAAAACATTTTTATTTAAAATGAATAGAAAATGAACAATTTTGAGTTTATATAGTGGTATCACTTGTTATTGATCGATTTTTGTCTAACATTATTAATGCATCTGTTTCTCCCATTACAATAAGCATAACTCCTCCTTCTGGAACAGGTTGACTAAATTTAATATTCACTGAAGTCGACCCATTCTTTATTAGATCAAAAGTTCCACCATTATCTTCACCGCTATTTGTAAGATTGAAGACATAGATACAGTGGGTTCGCCCATATTGTTGGTATGTTATCCCATTGTTATCTGGTGTACCAGAAAATCCTATAGCATCATTCATGTCGTGAAATGCTCTCACATATCGATTTGACCCATAGTCAAAATCGATATGTGAGAGCATTTCACGACATGAATGATGCTATAGGATTTTCTGGTACACCAGATAACAATGGGATAACATACCAACAATATGGGCGAACCCACTGTATCTATGTCTTCAATCTTACAAATAGCGGTGAAGATAATGGTGGAACTTTTGATCTAATAAAGAATGGGTCGACTTCAGTGAATATTAAATTTAGTCAACCTGTTCCAGAAGGAGGAGTTATGCTTATTGTAATGGGAGAAACAGATGCATTAATAATGTTAGACAAAAATCGATCAATAACAAGTGATACCACTATATAAACTCAAAATTGTTCATTTTCTATTCATTTTAAATAAAAATGTTTTTTAAAAATATTGCAAAAGTCTTATTATTAATTCGAGTTTTTACTCCTTGTGTTAATACTCTAAGTACTGACGGGAGCGTAGATGTTCAAAACCTTCCAGAATATAGGGAATATTTACAAAGAATGGGATATCCCTCAAAGAGGAACATTACTGTTCCAAGTATATCTGTTCCTGCTGCTCCTCAACCTTTTGGTAGTCTCCCTCAAATTCAACTATGTAAGGAGTCACCGCAAGATATATATGGACATATATTTTGTTGGGGAATGATTTCTATGTACATTCTTCTTATTATAAGTCTTGTTATTTATCAATTTCGATCAATACATTGGGTCAGATTAAATATTTTGCGAAGAAATGTACAGCAGTCAGATAACTCAAATTTTGAGATCAAACTCAAAGACGAGCAAAATTTTCAAGGGGTGCTTCCCTTGTGACTTGCTCCCTTCTCCTAATAGTTTGAAATGCCCTACAGCTCTTATTGTCAACTTGGACTCTCATGATAAAGATGGCTCACATTGGATTACACTTTATTTAGAAAAAAATCAAATATTTTATTTTGATAGTCTTGCATTACCAATAAGTTCTTGTATTGTTAATGCATTTTTAAAAAATTTTAAAAATGTAAAAAGAAATTCTAACCAATACCAATCACCCCTCTCAAAGACTTGTGCTCACCACTGTATTTCCCTAATATATTTTCTATCCCAAAATTATACAATTTATCAGTATATCAATTTATTAAATACGATCAAAAATACAGATTTATTTGTAAATAATATTGTAAACAATATGATAAATAATTAATTATTATGTATTTCGAGATAACTTTTTGTAATTTTAAAACAATCTGGACAAAGATAAAATTCATACTTAAAATTATGTTCATATTTGGGTACTATAATTTCGCATTGCAAACGACTCAAAACAAACTTTAGACAATCATGGCACCATTTTCCAGCTCTGAAATAATTTATGAGTACACTTAATCTTGCTCCCAAGTCAAGTTGAGCGCCATCTCTGATAGCTTGACTCAAAGCGTTCATATATTTCCTCTTGTTAAATTGCCTATATTCGCACGATCCGTGCATAAACTTAATAAATTCTTCTTCTGGAGATGAGCTCATATTCTGAAAAATTTTTCAAATGATTATTGAAAATGGGTGGAAATCAAAAATTCAACTTTTTGAACAAAATTGACCTAAATATCAAAATGTAAACTTTTAAAATATCAAAAATGTGGAGTATAAAAAGAGGGAAATTTTTGGAAAAAAATCATTCTTTAAAAAATGAATTCTCATTCCTCTTCCAATAAAGTAATCGATGAATGCACGCGAATTTTGGGGTGCTCTGCAAAATCTTTAAGAGACCACCTCAACCATCCTGATAACCGTGTGCTTATCTTTAAGGAAATATTAGGTCGAAAAGTCCAAACGACTTATGAAGATCAGAATGGCTTTAAGAAAACTTTTCGTATAGATAGCCTTACTCAACATGGAGGAAATTCTCTCGTTGCCTATGGGAGATTACCTTTTCCTTACAATGTGAGCGTTGCTGCTCACTATTATGCTCGACACAGGATTCGTTTACGTTATCCGTACTTGCAATGTGTCATTGAGCGCCTTCCATTTGGAGGAGAGGACAGATATTACCCATTGGAGTTGCTCGAGTTTGTTCCTGAACAAGAGGATCGACTTGCTAGCAAATGGGTGAATCAACTCTCCAATGATCTATCAAACAAACTAGCAATTTCGGACGAG